GGAAAGAGAGGAACAACTACCTTTATCGGTACATTGCATTTGCAATATTGTCCTGGAAACGGGAAACTCCTAGCCTGGCAAACTGTGAAGGGAATCAAGACAAGCAGAAGCCTAGCTACATCACTGCTGACCAAGAAAAATATTTGTAACTACAATCTAAAAACATACATTGGTTACCTGAATGTCACATCGGTGCAGTTTTTCTTTTGCGATTGCATTTGCACCTTAAACCTCTTTGATCTCTTTGATGAGCTTTGATCTCACTTATTTACCTCACTGCACGATTGATTTGTCTCCTCTTAGAATCAACAGTGAAACTGCAAGTATTCATCAGGGATTTTTTTTTCCATTTTTATATTGTTGTTTTTTATAAGCAAAAAGGACTTCTCTCTTGTCCAAGGCAAAGCTATACTTGGTCTCTCCAAGGAAACGAGTTAAATTGCCTTCTAGGATTCTACTTAGTCCACCATTTTCAAAAAGAAAGCAAAGCAGCAAAGCAAAGCAAACCTTCAATCAGAAGAATAGCTAGTTTTTTCATTCACCTCTGTGCAAAAAGGCACACTGACTACCCACGAAAGACAAAATCTCTAGCTACGCAACAGGCTTAGTGTCCGGAAAGGTATTACAAGCTTGCCGTTACAGCTCCATCCTACTTGCTTCAAGCTTAAATTTGATCCATTACATTTGTGAAGAGTGAAGTTCAGGCTCTGTGATTTATGCAAGTGGTTTCACCCTGACCCATTTTTTTTTAAGCCAATTTTTAATTATTATTTTCTTAGACAGGCTTTCCTCAGCTCCTTCATACTAAGTTCCATGTCCAACTCACTATTTTGAAAACTTTCTAGGATGCATGTTTTTATAAAGCATAGCTTGAGAAGCATATCAGGAAAGGGATATTAACGTGCAAGAAGGCAGCTCTGTCAGAGGTTGGGAATGCAGCTGCCTGGCCAAAACCTTCCACTGCAACAGGAACGGGTCAGAGAAAACCTCCTGGCTGCCAGGAACTCTGCATGCTGTTCCTCACCACTGTGATTCGGTCACAGCCTTTTCACTCAGCTTCTACTCCAAGCCTGAGGTCTGCTTATCCCCACTCCTGTTTCTTACACAGAGTCTACATCCTCCATGTTCAGAATCACTGCTGCAACAGAATTATCAGTCTGTCTACAAATGAATCGAACAGAGCTGACTGATGGAGAAAATATAAGAGTACGACCCAAACAGATTTCAATCGGACTGAAACCCTCTTCATGTGCAACGCCAAGCACCAAGTGGGTAGCTACCAGCATCACTCATGTCTGATGTGGTCCACGTCTGAACCAAGTGATCAGGCATGCAAGAGTGTGAGATCAGAAACCTGAAAGAAGATGGTGAGGCAGCTAAGAAACCAGGAATTCAGACGGAAGTAACTGACCTCATTTGAAGGTGTCTATTGCACCAAGCATCTTCTTTGGAGGGACAAGCAGATCCATGAAATCTAGCTACTTTTAAATGAAGCTAATGGATATTCCTGAAGAAATTAAAAGACTTCTTATAGTGCAGGTAAGCTTTATCATAAAAATTCATATGCCAAATTGCAAAAACCAAGCATGATCATGCAGAAATTAGACTGAGTGGGCAACACTGATTTTAGGTACCATGTTATTCAGAAAGCTGTGTTTTCAGCTGTACAAGGAAACAAACAACTAAAAAGAGGACTGTTTCCAATGTCTCTAACACCCACAAGAGCACTAAAAGCCTTTCAGTTACTTTGTTTGTTTTCTAAACCATGCAAGGCCAAGATGAACTGTATTACTGAATCATGAAATAGGGTCATCATCTATCTCCTCTCACCACAGCACACTCATGGCATGGTACACAGCTAATGGTTTAATTACAGAGCCTCAGGAAATGAGAAAGGCAATAAGGCAGACGATCACAGCAGGAACACATTAATGGCCTTTTTATCTTACAGAATAAATTTGTTTATCTGCTGTTTCAAATGCCCAATATGGCAATTAACTTTTCTGTTTGCAAACTGACACTAAAGCTTTGTGTTGCAGCCATAATTAGTTACCACCAGCACGGCACCATAGCAGTTTTGAATGCTGGAGTTTGCCTGAGCAGCCAGCTTCTGAGAAACTCAATCCCTTTTTTCAGGCCCCTTGCTTAACCAAGAGCCAACTTCTTAGGTCACATCGAATCTTTAAGCTTTTCCCAAGCTAAGGTTTCTGCATCAAACAGAAACTAGAAAGGGTATTTTACAAAATCACCATCTCGTATACCATTGCTACTGAAAAAGGCTACATAAAGAATTCAGAAATGCAGGAAGGGTGAAG